ATTGTTCTCATAACCAAATTGCATTAGAACTTAATCCAGTGATTCTCTATAAATATTTCTGATATAGTCAGATCCATCACCCAAGTTAGTTGTTGCCACTACCAACATCATCAGGTAGAGTACATGGCTAGACAAGAACTGAAGGAGCATTTAAAGCTCTAGGACATTCTATCAATCAGTATTCAATGCTATAACCTTACCAAGTAATACCCAATGTTACCTAGCTATCATGTAACTTTACCAACTCGTATTTATTATTACTTTACAACCAAATGATCCACCAAATAATATCTAATGCTACATATATACTCAGCATCTTACCAAGTAGTACCTAATTACACTTGACTACAAAACATTCTATGACCCTAATGCTACTTTAATATTGAGACCGATAGTACCTAGTGCTATCTAGCTATAGAGCACAACAATACATAATACCATGAAGTTACTAGGAACTAGCGATGAAATACCGAACACCTTATTAGGTAGTACTTAATATTAACGGATACCAGGTAATACCTGAGTACTACGCACTAGGTATCTCATGCTACCTGACTACCCAACATCCTACTAGACAGAGTTCAATACTACTTGGTCGCTGCGCATCGCACCAAGTAGTACCCTAACATCCTGCCCAGTGTCCAATATCACTTGGTATTGGGTCTCAAGCATATTACCTATCAGAGATAACTATTATTAAGGTGAAACACGTAAATTCCAATATTCTTGGAACCAAACTACTAATGAATAACTTAACATTGAGGAGATAGCTCTCAACAATTCCAATACTACTTGATCATACGAGTTGTAAATTCAATATGACTTGGTACCAGGAATTGAAAATTACTTTCAAAGATAACATTGATAAAAAACATACATGTCCCAATATTCTCAGAGTTAAAACGCTCATGTTCTCATGTTCACTCCATAATAATGTGGATAACTGAACATGAAAAATTATCTCCATCAACTTTTATAAATATCACCACCCTCCTACAGTAAAAAGTTTCTAACTTTCTCACTTCCTAACTTCTCATTTCCCTAAAACAGCTCCGGGAGAATCTCTTTTTGAAAAAAAAAAATATCTCGAGACAACATTCAAGTACTCCTAGAAAAATTAGCCTTCTATTGCCAAATCATCAGCAACCAATTTTCAAGTCCAGTAAACCCAGAGACTCTATGGAGACCCATTATGTCATCAGTCCAGGACTTCAACCATTGTCCATACTCTCTTCCCATAGAAAGTTGCAGCGAAAATTTAAAAATCAAAATTCAAAGGTACAAAGAAACTAGTAAGACATACAAGCTTAAATAAACCCGGGCACTCACCTCAATCTATTTCTATCTAGGAGGAAAGACATCATCAATCAACAAGCAAAGCACTTACCGCTGCCTCAGTCTTGCAATCTCAAACTCAATCTCCTGAGCTTCTGTGTCGAGGAAGTACTCAACCAGCTCTTCTTCTGTATCCGGTATAACCCTAGACTAATAAAGAAGCGAAAACCAAAAAGAAGGGAGGTAAAGGATATAATAGCAACTAAGAAATAATCACAAACATGACACATGCAAGAAAAACCAGAAGGACTCAGTTCATGGCAATAAGAAAAACTTCTAAAAATTACTTGTCTTAGAGTTTGAATACGCTCTTTCTCTTCGCGCAATTGTCTCTCAAAGGCCTCCCTTGCTTCCGCATCTCTCTCTAGCCTTCTCTTGAACTCCTGCCGAGCGATGTGGCCCGTCTGCGGTGGTCCCAATATACCTTCTGGGTCCTTCCTTAGATGAAGTAAAGAAACAAGATTAACACTGCTATAAATGGCTGAGAAAATTAGGAATTTGGCGTTTGAAGGAGAACTATGTTTGAATTGTTTTATACCCATCCAATGCAGGAGATTTTGGGCTTGGTCCGGATGGGGCTGGATCTCGTACGTAGTGTACTGGCGGTGGTGATGGCGCTGGCGATGCCCATAGCGAGAGCAGCCATTGATGGAATGTTTTGGAGTTTATGGTTTTCTGCAAGTGATTGTGCAGTGGGTTATCCAGTGAGAGAGTTGAGATTTTTGGAGTTACATTTTGCCGGAGCGATTTTAACTGTTGGTTAGTAGGGCGGGAATGATAACCGTCGGATTTGATGGAGTTGGAAAGATACGATCAGGATCGTTTATGAATAGGGAGAACCCAAGCGAGCTGGGCCAAATCTCAGCCCGAGCAGCGTGTTGGGTGCTAAAATAAATATATTTGATTCTTGAATTTTTTTTTTAAATAAAATAATAAATTCAATAAAAAATATCTAGTAAAAATCATAATGAAGATAAATAATATAAGTTGGTTACTTATATTTATTTTGTTTGTTTTTATTTTATATAAACTAAATAAGTATTAGTGAAGATGTAATATAAATAAAAATAGCATATACAATGTATATTATTAATCATAAATTTGAAAACGCATTTCTTTTATATAAGAATATTGGACAAGTTAAAGTATTAGAAAGTCAAACGACTTGTTTCAATAATTATTAAATAAGTGATAATTAAAATAAAATACAGAATGTAAAAATTAATTAAATTATATAAATAAATAATTTAATTAATTATGCACCCCTACTATATTTATATTTATTGTATAATAATAAATTAAAAATAATTAAGTTATTTTAAAAATAAATAATATTTTCTCAAAGGCTATTGAATGGTAGCCAAGTTAATCACTGGGACCTCCTGAGGTTGGTCTCGTTCTTTTTTTTCTTTTTTTGAAAAGTATGTTGACGACGTAGTCTTTGTTATTATTATTATTAAGATTTTAGCAGGGTATAATACAAATAAAGGCCATGAATTTGCGAAAATATATATATATATTTAAAATGAGGACCTTTACGAAAAATTTAAAGGCTTTGGTCTTATTAAGTTTATATATATATATATATGGATTCCGTGAATGGACGGGGACGGCAAAATTGAACGCGTGAGGGTGCTCATCTTGTCATTTTGATTGACCGAAAAACCAAGTCCCTTTGAGTCAATGGCAGCTTGGTACGTAGTTGAACCCATCTCCATTAATGGGTAAAATTATGATTTATTTTTCTTTAAATTAGTTTTTGTAATTTTGAAAAACTTTTGATTTATTGTGTTTATGTTAATAAAAGTTAACACAATTTATTTCTATTTTATGTATTAAATATTAAATTTATTAATATTTGTTAAAATTTGAATATAGACCTATCTAAATTGGTTAAAAAAAAAAAATTCTATTGAAGAATCACAGACGAATATTGAGGATGCTGGAAGGGAGAGAGGCGATTGGCAATCCCAAAATTAGTGTGGAAAGCACCGAATTATCATTTCTCTCCTCTTCATTTATTTAAAATTTTATTTTAAGTAAATTTCTGGACAATTATAAGAGGTCTCTACATTTTGAAAAAAAATATATATATATATATACAATTTAATAATCACCTTTTGGTTAAATAGTATAAATTAATCTAGCCCACTAAATAGTACAAAATAAACTAAGTTTATTAATTAAAAAATGTTACACAACCAGCTGTTCACTAAGCCTGTGTGGGCTTTTAAAAAAATTATCATTTCTTTTTTACAAAATATTTCTTAATAGTAAGGCAACAACCACACGCGCTGAAATAAAATGCCAATCACAATTTGAAGGTTACAAAACGGAGCCAGACGCGTGAAGCCAACGCTCGAAAATAGCAACTGGGTATCACACTTTCCTCTTCTTCAAAATGCTGACCAAACCCTGCAATAAAGGTTTATAAATTACATACAATCCAACAGAGAGGCAAAAACAGTCGAATTCGACGACAACATGGCCACGGCGAAGTTAATGATAATGGCTGTCGCGGTGGCTCTGGTTGTAATCGGCACGGCGGAGGCGCAGACGGCGACTTGTGCATCAAAACTAGTGCCATGCGCTGATTTCTTGAACTCCACAACTAAACCACCAGACACCTGCTGCGATCCACTCAAAGAGGCCGTTGCAAATGATCTTGTGTGCCTCTGCAACCTCTTCAATGATCCTTCATTCTTTTCCACCTTCAATGTCACTGTCGATGAGGCTCTCCGTCTAGCCAAAAACTGCGGTGTCACCTCCGATCTCTCCTCCTGCAACGGTAATTTTCTAAATTCGCATTTGCTATTTGTAAATCAAACTAACAAAATTATCCTTGTGAGCTTCGGGGTTCAAATCAAGTAGATAAAATTCCAGAAAAAAGGACTCCCTTATGTCCTTGTAACTGTTTGTAGATTACCTACAAGATCTTCCTAAAAGGAGAGACAGTATTATAATTGATTGATTGCTTTCTTGGATTGATGTTTCAGCTTTCTCATTATGCATATCTTCAAAAACGCAAAAAGGACAAAAAGAGGAAAATCTGTTGTTAAATTAAGTTTGATTAATTGACTAATTATTCCCCTAATGTAATGTTTGCAGCTCCTTCTCAGACTCCTTCATCCGTGTCACCCCCAGGTAACATCTCTCTCTCTTTCTAGTTTACTAAAATCATAAGAATTTATTCATATTTAGGTCAAGGATTAGGTTAAGTTAGGTGAAAACAGACTTTATATAGTTGTTTATTGATTAGTTTTCTTTTAATTCAAAAAGTATTTAATGATTGAAGGCCTAAAAATGTCAAAGTGGGTGTGAACTGTGACGCCAGCCAGCTGCCTCAACATTTGACCAAGAAAACAATCAGGAATAGCCAAACATGACAGAAGTTAGTCTTTACGTTTCCATGTTTGATGCCCTATGAATAGAGCTCAGCCTAAGAAAAGTCAAATTGACGCGTTTTCTTGTAAAACTCATCCCAGAAAGTTAGAATATTTCATCATCTAATATTTATTCAGAGAAGGATTTCTGTGACAAATGATGCTTAAACAAGAGTTTATTCTGAAAGAAGGGCAAGTAAGAAATGATTTTGTTGCATGTGATACAGGAGTACCAGGAAATGATGTAGGTGCAGGCAAGACGGCAAGTATTATTACCAGTGGCTTGGTGTCATTTGTGCTGCATATGATGGTTTTTTAGGGAATGAATTGGAGTAATTAATAGAGAGTTGAGTCTGATTTAGGGAGATTTTTTTCTGGGTTTGCTTTTGTCTCATCTCTTATTTCCTATTTGAACATCCTTTGTTAGTTTGTCATGTTTACTTGCATGTTATGTTATCTCACTATATGTTGTATACTAGTTCACTTTCCATGTGTTAATTACTTTTGTAATAAGTTTCCTCTCTGTTACATTTCCTCTTGCTGCTTATCATCACTGTTGGGCATCAATTTGAGGTTTTTCGAAAGGGCAATATCATAGTTTTCTCTAACTTATTTCACACAAAGTGAAAAAGATGATTACTCTTCATATTACAAATTCTTTTTTAAAGTAAACTTTACCTCAAGAAACGGAAGTGGTGGCAAAGATTTCACTGGACCCTATTAATAGAACAAGGTGGGAGGGTCTTGGATGAGAAAGATGTAAGAAAATATCTCATACAATCAGACATATGACTTGTTGATTTGTACAAAAAAAAAAAAAAAAAAGATCTTATGAAGAAAAGTCATCTATATTATTTGTTTGTCACGTTTTAATTCTTTTTTCATACATTAATATTGTCAAGATTTATGTTAATTTTGTTTTTTTTTTAATTTTGTATTAAGCGGTTAATGAATTTATCACAAAAGTCATATAGCTAACCTTTTTTTTTAAAGAAGAAACATCATCGAGCCAACACCATCTTGGTATAGTAAAGAAACCAGAAATCAGGTGGCTTCCATACAATCAAATTCATCTTAGATAATTGTAAAATATTTTCAATAAGAGTATTTGCAACCTGATTAAAATTTTTAAAAATTTACGAGTAAAAAAAAAAAAGAAAACATATCTTATAAATAAAAAATATTATTCAAAAAATGTTCAAACTTAGACAAACAAGACTTATTTCCACATAAAGCATTAATAAGAATTTGCAGAGTCCCCTTTAATGATAATATATTGGATACCCTTTTTTAAAACATTATCTTTTCTATTTATGAGTACTAAAATCTCAACAATTTTTAATTTTAATAACTTTTACATTCATGATATACTTGCGAATAATAGTCTATCTTATTTTTAATACCAACAAAACTAGAAATTGTTGAAATACTAATACCTATCCATGCTTCCCTCTTTATAAGTTTTGCGGTTCCCACACCCTTTATACATAATCACATGTTGTAAAAAGATTATGTATAGACTCCTCACTACACATGGGACACTGAGGATCCACTAAAATTCTTTTTTTTTTTCTAACAAAGTTTTCATTAGAACTTCTTGTTTACAAAGTCATCATACCATATGTCTTATGCGAAGTTTTGACCAAGTTATCCAATGAATCTTCCTTTCCCCTTTTTGTTCGCCTTACCAAAAAGAATAAGTATTTTTTTTCTAACCGTAAGCATGTATTCTTTGGAAGCAAAGCAATAGCCATGAATTATATAAGGATTAGTTGTGCTATTATCTTCAATAGAATCTCTTGTTCAAGATAATTTATTTAACTTACAGTCTTACACATTCTTAACCACTCAATACCTCAATTTATAAAAAGTACTAATTTATATATCAATGAAAAACTATTCAAAAACTAGGTATGCACTATGCTCATCTATCATATTCACCCCAAACAAATTATGTAAATCTCATCTTACTTGTTCTCTCTTACTTTTTGAGAATGATATAATTAATTTTTATAAATTTATTACATCGGCATGATGCCTTCTCATAGATAATTAAAATGACACCTAATGTGTGATTTATTTCATCAATACTCTACTAAAAATCATATTCTCTTATGTAAATAGAAGACGAATATTAAATCAAATATCTCTCTTTAAATGTAAAATAACAATTTATTTACTGTTAATTAATAAATAAAAAAAAATTATTTATCACACAATTTATAATCAAAAGATAAATCCTCGTTTCTAAAACTAACATCGATTTAATCAGCATATGTTTTAAAAAAAATTTAGTATCACTTAATTAAAATTAGTCAACATTAATTCAAGATAAAAGTTGTCAAAATTGTATCCACAAGGTTTGTTATGAAAATGATCTGTTTCTCTTTCTAAAGCTGATAATGACACGTTGAAATGCTCATAAATGTCTCTCTTGCATAAACTTTGAATTGTACACTATAATCCAAATCTATGCAAAGAATATTTTGGGCCTTTATATTAAAACTACCTTCGGCCTTTGTTTAAACTTATATAATAATCTATAACATCTAAACCATTATTCATTAGTTTTTTCACAATACTTTGGTAATTAGCTCTATTAGTAATTTATTTAGCTACGATTATGAGAGAAAAGAACCTTGTGTGTGTTAATCACAAATGTTATATTCAGAAATTTTTTTAAATATGATTTAATTAATTATTAAAATTTGAATGTATTTATTTTTGAAATATAATTAAAAAATTTTAATTATGAAGTTCTATATTAATATTTATAAAAATTTAAAGTGTTTTTTTGTAAATTTTTATATTTGGTATGAAATAAAATGTTAAATTAATAAAATTTTAAGACCACTTAGTACCCAATTGCAAATTGCAGCAAAATCATTAGATTTTGCGATAAGCCAAAAATATTTATTTCTTCAAAAAAGAAAAAAAAAATCAATTCTAGATCATGCATGTATTGATTGGAAATTATTATCATTTTTTTTATTTTCTTCATACTTTTTTGGTAATAAACCCTCTAAAATTATGTAAAATGAAATTGATATATATTCTAAAAAGTTCAAGTAGAAATACAACATTTAATAATATCTGGTATCTTAATCGGGTAACCTAAATGACGCCTGTTTTTTTTTTTTTTTTTTTTTTTTTTTAAATTATATAAAAATATGTAAAATTATTGAGGACGATCTAATCCAATAGAAGCTACTAGAAGGACCTGGTAACAGGAGGTCTCACTTCAGCATTCATCAGTCGTCTTTCCCAATTTCCACTTTGGAGCATATCCAAAGGAAGATCCTGAGATCAAGCCGCACTTCTTCTCTTGCATTCTCTGCAAATATTTCAAGTCGTAACCAAAAAGTCTCGCAGTTCCTGTCGGTCAAATGGACGCTGCCAAACTGAATCAACTGAAGAAGTTCATCGAGCAATGCGAGTCCAATCCGTCCATTCTCGCCGATCCCTCTCTCTCCTTCTTCCGCGACTATCTGGAGAGGTAATTAGTCGATCATAGCTTGCCTTCCGCATTGATACGAATTGATGTATTGTTTATTTGTGAATTAAATTTTATCAGATTTCTTTGTTATTGTTTCTCTCGCACTCTAAAAAATATTTTCGAATGGTTCCTTTCAGTCTCGGTGCTAAGCTTCCCCCTGCTGCTTACACCTGTGGAGACTCCAAACCGGTACTCTTTTCAATTTTTTCACTGTCTATTCACGGATTGAAAATCTGAATTTGCGTGCCTTTACTAGTTGTTTGTGTCAGTTTATTATGTATGTATCGGGAGATAGTCTTTTTCTCGTTAGCGCGTGAATTTACATTGACTAT